GTGGTTTCGGTTCGATTTTCCGATTTGACGATTTTTGTTTACAACCCTACTTCTATTTCTAGTTTTAAGTGTAGCACTAGCTCTGATCATTTTTTCAGTTATATATCATCTAAAATAAGAATGATGGTATACCTAAAATATTCTTCTGAAAAGAAAGATTAATTTGTTTTTACAATTAGTTTCAATTTAATTTGCTTCCTTTATAATAAATTAATATTTAAAGACCTTGTATATACATAATTCTGAATATGCATTTGAGTGGAAATTTAAACTTGAAGTTTGTTAAAATTTGGTAATATATATATAATTTATATTAACAAATGCTAACTTATCAAAGTTAAAATCTAGCTTAGAAGTTAAAAATAGTATGTTAGTTCATTAAAAATTATACACTTTCAATAATTATTGTTAAAGATATATATTCAAACATAAAATATCACTATAAAAATGAGTAAATTTGATTAAAATTTAAAAACTATGTCTAACGAACTCTTTGTGAAACTCAGTCTATATTCTTATAGTTCACTTTGGAGAGATTAACTATTTTAAGAAATTTCATCTTTTTCTTTAATATATTATCGAAATATATATTCAGAAAAATAATATCACTTATAAAAAATTAAGGAAGATTATATTATTAAACTATGTTGAACGAGCCCTATATAACATAAAAATTTATATTCTCATAGTTTACTATGTGTTTCATCTTTTTTCACTAAGGACACTTTAGATAATATCAACTTCATTTTAGATGATATCAACGTCAGAATAACATTCAAAATACAACTAATTAACTAAAAAGACAATTTTTATATTATTGTAAAAAATAAATAACTTAATTATTCATATTTATTAGTATATAAACATTTAATGTTGGGCAGATTTTCTTTATATTTTTTTATAGCCCATGTTTAGCTCTCATTAAATTTTAATTCATTTTTCTCTCTCTTCTTATCAGTCACATCCGCAAAATAATATTATATATGTAGATATCCAAAATTCTTTTTTTAACCACACATTTTTCAAAAAATACTATTCCAAAATTAATTTTTTTTTTTTTTTCAAATAATGGAACGCAAACAAGGGCATAATAAAATATGTATGTACATACATTTTAATTTGGGTAATTAACACATAACGCCCTCACCTTTTATTATTGTTGTGGAAAATGTTCATACATTTTTTTTTTGGCATTTTCACCCTTATTTTCACCATTCATTACTCAAAAGGTTCTTTTCACATTTTTTTCTCAATTAAAAATTATAAAATGACGAATATACCCTTATCTTTAAATAAAACAAAAAGAAAAAGAAAAAGAAAAAAACTAACTGCAATCACAGGCCCAATTTTTTTTTTTTAAAAATGC